CTGAGCCTTTGAATGAAATCACAAAGCGATCCAGAAAGACCTATGTCTAGAGATCAACATAATATAAAATACGATCACATTATTATGTGAATATACAACATGCATGGTCTCAAAAACACAAGCAGTGTCCGTGTTTAGCATTACGGGTAGTTTAGAACCAGTCACATGAAGACTTACATATCAACTGAAGGGATCCATGCATCATCTGTATGTCAATTTTAATGCAGTATGACTGGAAGTACAGAGACAGACTGAGTATAATCACACAGACAGACACAGAAACTAGCATGGATGTCAGAACAAACGACCTTTGTAAAATGTCACTAAAACTAGTGGTATCATAAAAGGCCAACTCTAGGTGTCATATAAAATATCAAAGCAAACGGACTAGCTGTTAAAAATATCACCTTTTTCCAAAAATGACCAAAATATTCATCAAAATTAAAGATCTGGAGATATCCACCCAAAACTTGAGGTGTCTACATATAAAATATTAAAGAAATCAGGCTGGTTGTTTTCAAGAAAAAGTCAAAAGTGCAATTGTAGACAAACATCTGATAGAAGGACAGACAGAAAAATGGACGGACAATCACCGGTCTGTCATCTTTGATGACAGGTGATTTTTTTTTTACTCCACTTATCTAATTGTCAAATTGCGCTTGCTTGTTACACCAAAATTGAACTTAGTTGCCATTTAATAGTGATTTATAAGATTCTAAAATTCAATGATTATCTTAAACAAGCAGTCTCTCAGCTGAGATAGCCTCACTGTTAGCTATGCACATTTCAATTAAAGAATTGAAGATATCATCACGAAATGAACAAATATGAGAGAGGTCCACATGTAGTACCTATATGTATAATATCAAAGCAATGGACTTGCGGTTTTCAACAAGAAGTCAAAAATATCACTTTTTACTAAAAATGACAAAAATATTCAGCAAAATAAGACAAATTGAAGATATGACTAAATGAACAAATATGAGAGAGGTCCACCTATAGTACCTATATGTATAATATCAAAGCAATCAGTCTTGTGGTTTTCAACAAGAAGTTGAAAATATCACTTTTTACCAAAAATGACAAAACTATTCATCAAAATTAAAGAATTAAAGATATCTACATAAAATGAACAAATCTGAGAGAGGTCTACCCAAGGTACATATACACCAAGTATCAAAGCAATCAGGCTTGTAGTTTTCAAGCAGAAGTCGAAAAAACAAGCAGCCTATCGGCTGAGATAGCTCCGCTGTTAGCAATGCACATTTCAATTAAAGAACTGAAGACATCATTAGAAAATGAACAATATGAATAGTATCAAAGCAATCGGACTTACAGTTTTTAACAAGAAGTCGAAAATATCACTTTTTACCAAAAATGACAAAAATATTCACCAAAATTAGAGAATTGAAGATATCAACATGAAATGAACAAACCTAAGAGAGGTCTACCCAAGGTACATATACACCAAGTATCAAAGCATTTAGGCTTGTAGTTTTCAAGAAGAAGTCGAAAAAGTAAAACATTGACACGGACGATGGACAATCACTCATATGATAAGCTCCGCTCGACAAAGTCGACAGCAGAGCTAAAGATTAATTTTTTTGTATTTCCTTTAAGTTTTAAATTGTCTGTTTTTTTTTCCATTTATATAAGTATGTGTTCTTTCCAGTAATTTTATTTCAGCTGATACCCTCAAGGGTAACAACAAATAAAATAAAACTAGTCCACTTAAGTATCAAACCAATCAATTGGAGTGGAAGTTTTCAAGAAGTTGAAAATAACATTTTTGACCCAAAATTAAGAAAATATTCATTTAAAATACGGAATATATGTACGAAGTAAAAAAGCAATAGAGTTAACGACAGTGGATAATCGGTGGTCAAAAAAAGTGATAATTTCATGATTTAGTATATAACAAATGTAATTTTGGATTATATGCGATTCTATTGGAGACATTGTATTCTACTGGATCTTCTGAATAGAGCAAATATGGTATTTATTTTTATTTTTTCATGTATTTTATTTTATTTCTGGTAATTGCAAAAGCCCACAAATTCGCTGTGTTTTTAGTTGTGTTGTATCTCCTGTTCTAAAGAATGTTATGTAACAACAGATTTGATTGGCTGCTGATGCTTCATATCTTAAGCATGATTTCTAATAAGGTATATAAAAAATAAAATAAAATACATTTAAAAAAAATCAAAAAAAAAAAAAAAGTCCCAAACTAAGATGTTATTTTAATCAGATTTGGAAACTGTAAACTGCGCATGTGCCACATTTGTGTTGATAAACATTGATTTTCCCATAATCCAATGCGTTTTTCTAATGAAAAAGTATGAGGTTTGACCTGGGCGTGACTTGCACTAATTAACACCTGTGACTCCTTCAATACCTTCCAATCACCTAAAAAAATACCTGATTAAAGCTTGGTAATGTCTCAGTTTGTATTCGTTGATCTGCGCAACAGTCAAAGTCACCATCTTTGTCTATATGAGACCCATATATCTCGCGCATGCGTGGCGCAACAACTACCGCCCTTTAGTTTGACAAGAAAAAATGTTGTGAGACAGTAAAAGATCATATAAAGTGGGAATATAACTTTCAGACTGAGATTTTTTCAGTGAGGTGAGTATCTCAATGAAATTTACCAAAATGAGAAATAATCTTTTTAATTTCATGCATTTTTTATTCAAATACCCCTTATTCAAGTTTATTTTTTTAAATAAATTAACATATGTTTCAGCGCGAAACTTGTGTAGAAAGTTCACCGAGACCAAGCCAGTGACTTTCACAAACTTCCATCTCTGCAAATGAAAATTTACAATTTTGGAACAAACTTAGGTTTGTCTATTTCACCTATCCAGTATACAATAATTGCAATTTTTTCATATTAATTTTTTTTTCACAATTTTGATTTATTTGCTCATTCATTTATTTTGTAGATTGTTTTCAAGTCATAACCGAATGTGGTTTGACCATAAGATTTCTTGAATAATTCCAAGGTATTTCATTGACATATCACCCTAGTTGCATGCACTTTTCTCATCCACCCTTTGTCACCTATAAATCCTACTCAAGAGATAATCATTATAAACAAACTTCTCAAAAGCACCAAAAAAAAAAAAAAAAAATCTAAAATTGTTATTACTGTCTGTTAATAACTTTTATTCTAGCTGGTATTAATTTCTGCTGAAAAACAACATTTTGCTTGTCACACATATGAAGCAATGGATAATTAAAACATGCACACAGTAAACATAATCTCTTTGTTAAGGAGTGGGAGGAGTGAAAGGTGATTTTAATTAATTACTGTGGGTAAAATCACACTTAGTTGTTTTTTTAAGTTTGTTTTCACATTATTTTTCACACTTTAGGAGTGGGCCTTAAGGAGAAGAAGTAGAATTGTAAACGAAAAGATTACATTTGCTGTGAACATGCTTTTATCATCCACAGTCCCTTTAGTACTGATCTGCCAGGAATGACAGCCACATGAAAACATTGTTATTTTCCAAGGTTTAGTATAGTATTTCTTTTTATCAATCTGCCATAAATAACATACCAATTATGGCGAAAATTGTATATTCAGCGCATTTTTGTTGATTGAATATGTGTTTTTTTTTCTATGGTTTTGAATGCAATTTATTTCCACAGATCAGCCATAAATGCATGACAATCATGGCTATTTTTTTATTTTAGTGAAAACAAATTCCAATGAAAATAATGCATTCACAGTCATATGTAATTTGCAACACCATTATGCCATTATTAAAAAAAGACAGTGTCTTTATGTAAACAAGCCATATAATAAAATAAAATCTTCCAGTAACAGACTGTTTTAATATATTGTCTATTGCGTGAATTAATAATTAATAATCAGTTTGGATGTATTCGCACAATAAAGTCAACAGATTTAAAACAGATACATTTTTTTTTAGATCAACCTAAAAAACCTATACAATCCAGGCTCTCAATTGAGTTTCAAAATGGTGCCCTTTTCAAATACTGATGCATGCTACAATCACGATAACGAACTAGTACATTTTATATTGGACTCTTTGAAATCTATTTATTTGTTTTGTACCTAACTAAACATCACTATGAATACCGAGTGAAATTCTGAAAGAAAAGACAAAATCTACAGCTTTCATAGAGGACCTTGACATAATTGTGTATATTCAATTGACATACTGTATTACTGCGGAATTTTTAGTCTTTCTTTTTATTCACAATCTAGACATTTCATTGATAATAATAATCTTTGATTGTGAAACAGTTTTGTTTCAAAATATGTGTGGTGTTAGTTATTTCACCCGATGGAGCGCCTATCAGTGTTTCTTTGTGATGGGGGGCTCCAGGAGGTAAACGCTTACACTGCATTCGCTGTTTAATATGCGCCATTGCTAAAATTCTGCTTCGATGAGCACCTCCGGGTTTATTTGACAGCTTAGGGCAGGGTTGAGTTGTCACGGTGCCCTGCGAAATAGTCCTCGGGGTGGAAATTCGCACATGCGCAGACAATATAACAGCAGAAGACTTTTGGCAGGAGGGCATTTCGGACTTCAGAGTTCAATCGAATCGCCACGAGTTGACAGCCCATGGTCGCGAATTTCGAGTTTTCGTGGGGGTAACTTCGCCATGGAAAAAACGGGACTTCGAAGGCCTCATCGCGGTTCCAAAACTAAGTGTTGGCGATTTCGGAAAATGTACATATCTGACGCAAACGAAGTGACAAAAATGAAAGATAATTACCTTCGTGAAACGCTAAAGAAAAACAATTTCTTTTTCGATGGAGACATCGTGTTTGAAGCATTCATAAGAGATCTCAGTCTAGCGCTGAGATGGAGATGTAATGTAATAGCTCGTCCAGTTTGGCGTGTAACGAGACATTTTATTGGTCGGCTGTGTAGGATTTACACCAATGACAGGATCCGTGTCTTGTTGTTCTTAGTCACGTGATGTATATAACCAGGAAGTAGGGAAGTGCAATTCTAAACATCGTCGTTTTCTAGAACAAGACGCAACTTTATTTCTGCGTCAGATGAGTTTTGGCCTGATTAGAAAACCGAGATATTTCGTTTTGTGAAAGTCGAAATGGATTCAGTTATCCCGGAGGTGAAGTGTCTAATGGAAGGTAAGGACGTTTCATACCTTCCGAAGCGTGAGTGGCACTTCCTTGTAGCCTGCAGCCCGGCTATTAAAGTTATAAAACTGGGCGTTTCGCTTGTAAATTTTTGTTTCTGTTTTTATTTTGGAAGATGTCGAGAATTTCCTGATTATGGTGTTGAAAAAAGAAAAACTGAGCCGAGACACCAACAAAAAACGAGATGAACTAATCAAAAAAATAACTTCACTGAAAAAAAGGATGGAGACTGAAGATAGGACAGGTACTGTCGATGTTTTTTTTTTTTTTTTAAAACCACAGTCCCTCTATCACAGTTAAAACTTATTCATAAGCACTGGCACCACCTCGTGCAATTTTAGCAATTGAAAAAGTGAGATTTACAATTTCCGTGTTTAGTGTAATGTGAACCTTTGATTGTCAATGTATGTGTTTATGTTGAAGTAGAAAAGTGACAATTATTTGCCTAGCATGGTATGTATTGTATCATCATAGATGAAGATCAAGGTATACGGGGAAAAGTCTGTTGTTATTATTGTTGACTATGTCATATAAAGGGGGGAGGCTAGGGTTATTTTCGTTCAACGTAATTGCAATATTTTTTGGTTCGTACAACGTAAATTGAAAAAATAAATTCAGTAATTCTGTAATCACAGGCTAGACGTACAACGTAATCAATCAAATATTTTTTTCGTAAACTGTAAAAATGTGCCATTTTTCTCGGTACGTACTAGAATTTACATCCAAATAAAAAAAGTCGTAAAGAATAATCCAGGGAAATTACATTTTCGAAAATGTAAAACAACTAGATGACACAATTCACTGCAAAATTCAATTTTCACTGTAAACTGTAAAGACGTCTTTTTTCCTTGTAAATTGTAAAAAGCCCTATTTATTTCCCGTAAAACTGTACCAGCTACTCCCCTTGCCGCCCCTCATATAACTTTTTCTTGTGGTTACAATAACTCAAACAGTTAAAATAATAATTTTATTACTCATATTAAGTGTATCAATATATTAGAAGAATTAAAAAGTGATGTCCAAATATTTAAATAGACGAGTTCAAGAGAAGACATAATAATAAGACAAGTTGGTAAATACAATATATTTGATATAGATATATTATTATATATTATTATTATTGCACTTTCTACAGTTGAAAACTAATCAATAGTACAAAACAAGGAAATTGTTACATAATAAAAAGAACAATACTAATAATAAGAGAAATATAACTGAATATATGATGACAGGGATTGAAATAGAATCTTTTCCCTGCATGCTTAGTGCATGTTGAATTTGAAATTTACCTGTACTAACTTGTTGTGAAATGCACCACTTTTAAAGTTTAAATAAAATTTACATGTTCTCGATTGACGCGATCTCGAAAGAATTTGCTTTTTTTTGAGTTGTCTTACAATATTGGTTGAACATAATTTAGGTTTAGTGAATATAATGAGAAAATGTTGTGTTAATTTCTACATACACAGCGTGCACATTATATTTTGAGTTTACTTGCACTAGTATTTCGACCCCTGGATAGTGATGTAAAATAAAAAAATATCTGCAAACGATACGTCTTTTTGAATAAATATGTTAAATGAACTTTAAATAAACAAAGGTCAGATCTTTTTCTAACATAATTTAGCATCCCAATCCATAAACATGGTGAAAAAATAAAATAGCAATATTAATAGTTAAAATGTAACAGTTTGCTATGGAATACTGCTATCTATATTATTCCAACTTTGTTATCAAAACAATGAGCTTATATTCCAATACTGCTCATAGGTTTTCTTTTTCTTTAACAGTATGTCTAAATCTAATAGGTAGCCTCATCAAATATGGTGTACCTGTAATATGCTCATACTTTCTGCAACAAGTGACTAGTCTAGCTGCAGAATTCTGTAATTGTTGACATTTTTGTGAATTTGTTGTATCATAAAGAAGACTGTTACAGGAATCTAATTGGGCTTTTCTTAGACAATTTTTCATTGATCTGATCTTACGCAAGTCATGAAATGACAATTCGCAAACTTCGCTAACATTATTAACCACATTGGTATATTAACCAGTTTCTATTAGTAGTTTATGTGCAGAAATTCAGAACTTAGTGATGGTAACTCTGTATTTGACATGTCTGTCTGTCTGTCTGTCTGTCTGTCTGTCTGTCTGTCTGTCTGTCTGTCTGTCTGTCCGTCTGTCCGTCTGTCCGTCCGTCCATCCGTCCGTCCGTCCGTCCGTCCGTCCAGTGAAATGTGGCACACATATGCTCTTTTATCATGCGCAGACCTGATTAGTTTTAGTTGAAATCTGTGCATATTAATTACCTAATTTGCATATTAATTAGCTATAGGTGTATGAATCAATGACTTTTTATTGTTTTCTCAAAGCGATGTACAATGTACATGTCCCAGTATCTTATATTACACCTCTGAAACTGCCTTGAAATGCCATCATGAAAAAATCTCAAAAAATGTACAATTTCAGCATGATTTTTATCCATGGTTTCTATCTATTGAGACAAATTTTGATTTCAACGCTGGTTGGTGGAAATTAATTGAGCTTGTCAATCTTTACATCATGCACTGAACCCCATACCGGTGACGATCATCTTTGGTGTCGCAACTACCCTGGTCTACCCGGCTAATATTTTATTTTATTTTCATTTTAGAAGCAGTGACAGAAGATATATATGATGAAGCAACGTCGCAGGAGACTGACACAATTTCCCAATGTGTCACAGAAAATAGTACGGATGACTCAAAAAGTGTTGATGATTGTCCCTATGGCAATAGTATGTAAATTACTATCTTACTGAGTAATGAGATCCTAGGCAGTTAATAAAATTAGTATTCAATTAATGACAATTATTGCTGCAGTCAGGTCTTGGCCAGTCGATAAACTTGTATGTCTATATGTCTGTTCCAACATTATCTTAAGAACTGCTGGTCAGATTTCAATGAAACTTTGCACATAGATGCTCTGGAACAATGTGCAGACCTGATTAGTTTTGGGTAAAAGTCTGTGCATAATAATCACCAAATTTGCATAATGGTTAGTCAATTTTTGGCTTTTCCAATAAAATCTCAAGTAGTAATCATCACATTTCAATGAAACTTGGTACATAGATGTCATAGGACAATGCACAGACCTGATAGTTTTTGTGCATATTATTTATCTTATTTGCATAATTAGTTAATTTTCAGCTTTCTGCTGATATTTCAAGTACTAATCATTACATTTCAGTGAAAACTTGATACATAAATGCTCTAGACGAATGCACTCACCTAATAAGTATCTGTTAAAATATGTGCAGATTAGTTACCTGATTTGCATAATTATTCAATTTTCGACATTTCCATCGATATGTCAAGCTCTAATCACGTTTCAATAAAACTTGGTATATAGTTGCTCTATGACATTGCGCAGACATTATTAGTTTTTCATTAAAATCTGCATATATTAATTACCTGATTTGTATAATACTTAGTCAGATTTCATCAATATTTCAAGTACTTATCTTATTTCAGTGAATCTTGGTACATAAATACTAATTAGTTTTGGAATTATATATCAATAATACATTTTAATAATTACCTAATTTGCATAATATTTTTTTTGTGCCTTTCCAGTTTTTTTTAAGGATTAATCATTACATTATAATGAACATATGTGCCTGTAACAATACGCATACCTAATGGGGTAATCCACAGATGTTATTAGTTTATGTTGAAAAACATATCTATTGATTACTTTATTATCATTAGCCAATTTCTTATATCTCAAAAAATCAGATTTAAATTGAACTTGTGGTAGAGGTGCTCTGGAATAAATTAAACTGCATGTAAATTGTATTAACCATTGATAATATGTGAATTGCTTATACAGTCAGACCCTGTGCAATTAATAAACTTAGTATTTTATTAACCATTAATGATGGTATGTGAATTGCTAATACAGTCAGACCCTGTGCAATTAATAAACTTAGTATTTTATTAACCATTAATGATGATATGTGAATTGCTAATATAGTCAGTCCCTGTGCAATTAATAAACATAGTATTTTACTAACCATTGATGGTTGTATGTGAATTGCTGGTATAGTCAGACCCTGTGCAATTAATAAACTTAGTATTTTACTAACCATTGATGATGGTATGTGAATTGCTGGTATTGTCAGACCCTATGTGATTAATAAACTTAGTATTTTACTAACCATTGATGGTTGCATGTGAATTGCTGGTATTGTCAGACCCTGTGTGATTAATAAACTTAGTATTTTACTAACCATTGATGATGGTATGTGAATTGCTGGTATAGTCAGACCCTGTGCAATTAATAAACTTAGTATTTTATTAACCATTAATGATGGTATGTGAATTGCTAATACAATCAGACCCTGTGCAATTAATAAACTTAGTATTTTATTAACCATTAATGATGATATGTGAATTGCTAACACAGTCAGTCCCTGTGCAATTAATAAACTTAGTATTTTATTAACCATTGATGATGGTATGTGAATTGCTGGTATAGTCAGACCCTGTGCAATTAATAAACTTAGTATTTTACTAACCATTGATGGTTGTATGTGAATTGCTGGTATAGTCAGACCCTATGTGATTAATAAACTTAGTATTTTACTAACCATTGATGATGGCATGTGAATTGCTGGTATAGTCAGATCCTGTGCAATTAATAAACTTAGTATTTTATTAACCATTAATGATGATATGTAAATTGCTAATACAGTCAGACCCTGTGCAATTAATAAACTTAGTATTTTACTAACCACTGATGATGGTATGTGAATTGCAGGTATTGTCAGACCCTGTGTGATTAATAAACTTAGTATTTTACTTACCATTGATGATGGGATGTGAATTGCTGGTATAGTCAGATCCTGTGCAATTAATAAACTTAGTATTTTACTAACCATTGATGGTTGTATGTAAATTGCTGGTATAGTCAGATCCTGTACAATTAATAAACTTAGTATTTTACTAACCATTGATGATGATATGTGAATTGCTGGTATAGTCAGACCCTGTGCAATTAATAAACTTAGTATTTTACTAACCATTGATGGTTGTATGTGAATTGCTGGTATAGTCAGATCCTGTGCAATTAATAAACTTAGTATTTTATTAACCATTAATGATGGTATGTGAATTGCTAATACAGTCAGACCCTGTGCAATTAATAAACTTAGTATTTTATTAACCATTAATGATGATATGTGAATTGCTAATATAGTCAGACCCTGTGCAATTAATAAACTTAGTATTTTATTAACCATTGATGATGGTATGTGAACTGCTGATAAAGTCAGATCCTGTGCAATTAATAAACTTAGTATTTTACTAACTATTGATGGTTGTATGTGAATTGCTGGTATAGTCAGACCCTGTGCAATTAATAAACTTAGTATTTTACTAACCATTGATGGTTTATGTGAATTGCTGGTATAGTCAGACCCTGTGCAATTAATAAACTTAGTATTTTATTAACCATTAATGATGGTATGTGAATTGCTAATACAGTCAGACCCTGTGCAATTAATAAACTTAGTATTTTGTTAACCATTAATGATGATATGTGAATTGCTAATATAGTCAGACCCTGTGCAATTAATAAACTTAGTATTTTACTAACCATTGATGGTTGTATGTGAATTGCTGGTATAGTCAGACCCTGTGCAATTAATAAACTTAGTATTTTATTAACCATTGATGATGGTATGTGAATTGCTGGTATAGTCAGACCCTGTGCAATTAATAAACTTAGTATTTTACTAACCATTGATGATGGTATGTGAATTGCTGGTATTGTCAGACCCTGTGTGATTAATAAACTTAGTATTTTATTAACCATTGATGATGGTATGTGAATTGCTAGTATAGTTGTTTGGTTATTCATGAGGTTATATTCATTTATTCTATTAAGTTTCTATAGTACCATTAACACCTGCAAGTGAGTTACAACCAGCTGCAAAAGAAGGAATGTTGGGGAAGAAGAGAAAAGGTGAGCATGTGGTTTAATGAATATGTATATAGGACACTAATTTCTGCTACACACTAAGAACATAGAACTTTCCCAGCCATATTGCATGCTGTCTGTGTCGCCCTGTAAATTAGGTCTCTGTAAAATCACTGTATAATGTTATAGTACTATAAAATACTTAATTTAAGCTGGAATTAATTTTCGCTGAAAAGGCGTTTTTGGTATTTTGTATGGAATTTATTTTCACTGATTTTTGAATGTTGAATGTAAAATATAGGAAAAAAGGTATATTTGCTGGATTTTGCTGAAGGTACGATTCAGTGAAAATAGCGAAAATTAGTTCCAAGCGAAAATAAAGTATTCTACAGTATATCAATTTTTTTGTCAGATGGACAGTTTGGTTTAACAAAATGGCAGAAGCGATGGTGTGTGGTTAAAGACAATATCTTTTATTACTATAAGAAGTCTACTGATAAAGAACAACTGAATGCATTTTCACTCCTGGGTTATGAGGCAAAAACAGCAAGCAAGAAAAAGAAAGATTTCAGTTTTGAATTATCACATTCCAAAGAGCGCTGTTTTATGGTTTGTATTTTTTACGCCTGTGTGCAAAGCACACAATGGTATGTGTGTATGTATGTATGTGAGCGTGTGTGGTACCAATGTTGTGACAACTTCAATTTAACTTTACACCAACTTGTGATGACAGGATCTACATTGTGACGACCCTGACTATTTTCATAATTTATATTAATATTTAATCAAATTTAAGTCAAGTTTATGTAGCTTCGGTTTAGTAAATGAGGAAGGTATGGTTTAGTTTATATTACAATTAATATAATTGTACCGTACCTTCCCCCTTTACTAAACCTAAGCATTGCAAACATTTCTATGTTCAGTCACGGGATATTCAACTTTTATTTAATTAAACTTAATTAAAAAGCAATTCTACGTTAAATTGCATTGTAATTGAGTTTAATTAAACTCCAATTAAAAAGCAACCCTATATAGGAACGCGTTTTAATCGCAACTATATTAAAAGTTAATTGAATATGTGTCGATCTTCACAACGTTAGTACGACATGAATATGTGTGTGTGTGTTTATTCCACTGATTTCGAGAACAATATGATGATTTTTGGTGAAACTTGATGCATAGATGCTCTGGGCTAATGTGCAGATTTGATTAGGTTTAAACCATGCATATTAATTAAACCATGCATGATAATTAGCTAATTTGCATGATCACTTTTAGCTGTTCCATTCCACTGATATCTATTAGAACCACTCATTGGATTTTGATGAAACTTGGCACATAGATGCTCTGGGACAATGTGCAGACCTGAATAGTTTGGAGTAAAAATCTGTGCATACTAATTACTAATTATGCATTCATTCAATATTTCAATATGCACAGACCTGATAGGTTTTGAGTTAATATCTGTGCATATTTATTACCTAATCTCCATAATTTGTTTGGCTATTCCACTGTTATTTCAAGCACTGATCATTACATTTCAATGGTTCATAGATGCTCTAGGACTATGCTAAGGCCTGATTAGTTTTGGATGCTTTACTTTCCACTGATTTTTAGCTCCGCTTTCGACAGAGTCAAGTGGAGCTTATAGTATTACTGATCGTCTGTTGGCGTCCGTCGCCGCTGTCGCCGTAGCCGTCACCATAGCCGCTGTCGCCGTCGCCGTCACCGTAGTCAACTTTACATTTTCGACTTCTTCTTAAAAACCACAAACTGTATAGCTGTGAAACTTTCTAGGATGGTGGTTCTCTCTGAGATTTGTTCATTTCGTGTGGATATGTTCAATTGTCTTATTTATAGCGAATATTTTTGTCATTTTTGGTTAAAAATGCTATTTTCGATTTCTTCTTGAAAAACCCCAAGCCCAAATGATTTGATACTTGGTATGTAGGTACATTGGGTGGACCTCTCTCAGATTTGTTCATTTTGTGATGATATCTTTAATTCTCTAATTTTGATGAATATTTTTGTCATTTTTGGTAAAAAGTGATATTTTCGACTTTTTGTTAAAAAACTCAAGTCCTATTGTTTAGATATTACATATGTAAGTACTACATGTGGACCTCTCTCAGATTTGTGTATTTTGTGATGATATCTTTAATTCTCTAATTTTGATGAATATTTTTGGTAAAAAGTGATATTTTCGACTTCTTGTTAAAAACCTGAATTCCAATTGCTTTGATTAGCCCCCGCCGGATCTGCGATCCGGGCGGGGGGTATTAATTTGGGTTGTGTCTGTGCAATGTGCGTGCACATTTTCATGTTACCAGCTTTTTCTCACACATGTGTGATCCAATTAAGTTCAGAGTTGGTACAGAGACAGAAATTGATGGTGCTACGGTGCACATCAAGTTATTTTTTCGATTCTTCAAAGTTTCACTGTGTTTTTCCTTGATTTTTAACATTTTTCCTTCAAAATCCGACTTTTCCCGAAATTACCCGAGTTTAATCCGAGTTTTGATGATGCTTACGCAGTTCTCGTCTCGGTGGAAATCAGTCAATTTTGTGAGGATATTGTATCCCGGAACCTTTATTTGCGCAACGCTTCTATGGACAAAATTGTGTTTCGTCAATTTCAAAGGTAAGAAACTGTGCTTGTTATGGTATTTATACACTTTGTATTATCGTTTGTGTCTCCGGTTTGGTGATCGTGAGAAACTATTGCTAACCTGGCGAGAGTTTCGCCAGAAAAACTGCCTTTTTATTATGGTTGTAGGAACTGATTACTGTAAAATCTGTATTAGAAGCCGCGGCTTCTATTAAAATGGTACAATACAACAGAGAGGATGCGGCTTCTATTAGAGCATCTACACATATGAGAAATGATGAATTTTTGATTCCCAATTTTTTAAAAAAATGGGTGCGACTTCTATTAGGAATGCGACTTCTAATACAGATTTTACGGTATGTATTGTGTAAATTGAAAGTTTACCTCGTGACTTAAGAGGTTTGCAGTGCTCTCACCGGGATTCAAACGTCGTGGTGGTGTCGGCGCAATGCTGCTCTGAGACGCTTGCCAGACTCTGCCTCACTCAAAATCATTATCGCCATGCTTGATTTCCGCAACATTTACATTTGTTTATGATTTCCACAGCTTTTGTTCTATGAGATGCGTCCTCGCTGTTCATAAACAGCCATAAACAAGTTTAGTTGGGTCGGCATGTACTCATTGAAAGTGTTGGTTTATTTACGTAATCACTGATCACGCAATAGGCGAAGTTAAAAATATGTCGCTACT